TAATAAATTAAAATATATATATATTTTAATAGGTAGTGACTGACAGTGTGTTTACTTTTAAGTTGCTATCTAGCCTAGAAACAAAGAATCCAGGGTACTGGGGCAAGGAAGGACAGTCCTCCTGAATTTTTATTTGCTCTAGAACCTGTTCAGGGGAGGTGCATTAAAACTGCTCCTGAATCTTTCCTTTTCATTTCAGTATTACTTCAGAAGCTTCCCCTGGAAGATTGAGTCTTCCTTGCCAGGCCATGGGATTTAAGATCTTCATGTAAAGAAGGTCTTAAACTACCGGGTCCTTTCTTCGTGTAGTGAAACAGGTCATTGCTATATGTTAGTGCTCCTTCCACAGTTTTGACTTGAAAATGTTCATCAAGCCTGATCTGGACCGCAAAGAGTAAAAATCTTCCTTTTGCCTTCCAGAGTAGGAATACCCTGAGAAATCGCTCTTCCCTGCCATTGACTCACAAAACTGTTTCTTTTCCAGGTTGCATCCCCTTCACATAGACCCCCTTTTTTTTGCCCTGGCCAATAAAACTTTTAGTCCTAACAGCCCTATGTAAGGGGAATAAAAATCCTCTTACACCCGACTGTTAAATATTGGTCTGAATTTCAGTAGACACAGGAAAGCCTCCAAGTCTACGCAAGCATCACTCGGACACACCATCCACGCCGTCAGAGAACGGTCAGTGTCCCGGGGGAGCGCACAGACAGAAGCAGATCAGCGCAGACCCAGCCGTGGCTGTTGTGACCAGCGGTACTTGCTGTGTGTGTGTGTAACCACCATTGGGCTACCAGCACAGCTTTCGGGTTTTCGCGACCTCTAAGGCACCCTAATCAGCTCTTAAACTGTTGCTCACCTAAGCGTTCTCTCGGTGAGTGCAATCACCGTGCTCTGAAGATCAAGGCACTCATTCCTCAAATTCTGGAGTCAGCTGCGCTCTCGTTGCAATTTATGCTCTTATAGAAAGGAGCAATGGACCAAAGGTTGGCTTTGCATAAGTGTATGACTATTTGTGTTCCTAAAGGGCTATGTTGCAATGCACAGAAAGAGCCAGAAAGGCAAACAAAAGGCGGTTGTTTATCAGTTTCTGCCACAGCTGGAAAATCCTAAATCTTTGCTTAATTTAAAAAACCCACCCAAATTACTAAGGAAAAACTGAATCTACTATAATAATAAAGTTCCTGTCATTGCCAAGAGAAATGACGGATACTGTTCCTCCGCTGTGCGGAATGTAGCTACCTCTTCATTTTTATGTGGGTTCGCTTATTCTGTGGATTTGCAGGCGGAATTACCCGGAGGATGGTCCGTGCCGCTTCAGGTACCGCAACACGTGTGGAGTTTGTAGGGTCAGAGCGGGCCTACGATGACAGCCAGTTCATACCTCTGCCTATAAGTAAAGGTAAAAACAACCCTCAAACAAGTCTGCTTTACAGCTCGAGAAAAATGAGAGCACTAAAATTGTATTTTAACGCTTTTGACTTCCCTTATATTTTAAAGCTAGCACTTGCAACTTGAAAAAAGCAGCACGGATGTTCCTTTCAAACAGGTGGACTCATTCTCATCCACGGGGAAGTCGTCCATAAGAGCGAACTGAACAGCTCAGGGTCTTCTCGCCATGCATTCACCTTCCATGTGATGGAAGCCAAAGACACCAGCTGGAGCAAAGAGAACTGGTAAGGTCACCATCCTAACAAGCAGCTGGGGAAACCGGAGCCTTTTTGGTGCAATTGCCAGGAGAAACTTTTAAGGGAGGTCTTGGATGTCACCCAGTTTCTGTTGGTAGTACCTCAGGTAGCAGTGATTTCATATCTGTAGAACTGGAATAGCCTCTGAAGTTTTGTTTTTACCTCTTCCTTGCTTCCTAGGCTCCAGCCAACTCCCGAACTGCCTTTTCCATCGCTCTACACTGGAACTTAGTGATTGGCTTCTGGAGTCAATAGCTGATCAATATTCCTTCCTCAGCGTTCGTTCTTGTTCCCTTTAAATCCAACTTTCACTAGATCAGCCCTCAAGATTAATTCATCCTCCTTTTAGAACAAAGACCCTTGACACAGCCGAATACACCTGCATTAGATACAAGCTTCTACTACAGCATGAGCCCTACTAGTACGAGAGTAGTAGCCCAGTCCTTTTGGTAAGGAAACTTCTTCAGTCTTGAGAATAGACCATTAAAGATCATTCTACCTTGACTGGGACCAGTTAAGAAGTAATTCTTCTTGCAGATGTTCAGTATTTTCTTCTGTTTTAAGTCAAGAGCTTGCCTAGTGCATTTCTTGGCTGCGTCAATGCCAGCAACGCAGGTGAATGTGTCGTGGAGATGGCCGACTTTTACCCTTAGGTCTCTATCCAATTGTTTGAATAATAATGATTAAAAATAATCCTGTTGTGGGCAAAATGAAGCAGGAAGTCTACTTTTATAATAAATCTTCTAAGTATTTCTAGGAACCTGTAGCTGAGTGTTTTATCTCTGGGTGTGTTGATTAAAAATACAGTTCTTAAAGATTCCTGTTGAAATTATGAAAAAACTCCAATCAAACGCCTAGCATTTAAATAAAAAAATACAAATTCTCCTTTTCATTTCCCTCATCTCTTCTTTGACGAAGACACAGTGTGACCTTGTCCCAAGAGCTGGGGCCAGCGCCAAGTTGTCCGATGACCCGTTTGAACCCTTAATGTACAAAAAACCCATTACTATCTCCAAACCCCCAACAAAACTAAACCGACCTATAGCGAGGTAAAACCTAAGGAATGGTAAGAAACTCGTTACATCTGAGGCAAGCTCAAGCCTGAGCCTGAACAGAGGCCGTGTAGGTGTAATTTCACTGGCACTGGTCCAGGGGCAAGCCCCAGCTATGACAGTTTCTGCAGGTAGACCTGCTGCCCTCCCCTACCTCTTCTACAGCTTGTTTGAAAGCCGTGAGTGGGGTGGAGGAAAAATGACTTTAAGTCTGGTACCAAAACCAACTCTGGACAATTTTTGACAATTATGATGTTAACGGTGAAGGCTGTGGTTTGTGATGGAAGCAGCCAAAGCTTTTTCCGTATCTTTCCATTAGAAGAGTTAATAATTTAGAATAGCACCTTTCTGCTGAGGAGGGATAGTTTGTCCTCTGACTATATGCACCACTACCTGCAATGTATAAAAACATGTAGTTCAAGTGCTTAAATAAAAACAAGAAGCTAGATTGGATTTCCTGTTAAGAGTGAAGGAAACTCAGTCTTGCACAATTACCAAGTTTGATTTTCTACAAAGGTTATCTGACAATTTATTGCGTTATTAACCGAAACCAACTGCGGACAATTTTGACATCCTCAGGAAAAGCAGTATCAAATCTCAGTAGCCCTGCCTGGGTGGTGGGGGGGGGTAAATTGGGCAATGCTGCCTTTGAGCTATTCGAGTCCTGGCTTGTTGCAGGGACAAACACAGTATTAGATTTGGGGGCCAATTTTGCTGGCTCTGCTGGCCCAGAGTGCTAGTTTCACTACACCCCCAGTCTTAATCTCACTCCTAAAGCACAGCTTCAGGGCTAGGGCTGCAGGACAGTATTGTGTAAGGTATCTTGGACTAGTACAAAACTGCTCCCAAAAGTGAATATAAGTTAACTTCATCCTGCAAACAAGAATCCTGGAGTGCAAATCTTCTGCTCGGACACCTCTCAGGGGAAGGGAAGAGGCAGGGAGGGTATGTGCTAATGTGTTTTGTTCTAATGGACACTTGGCAAACTGGTGAGAAGAGATTGTCAATACAAAAGTGTTTAATACATAAAAATTGTGGGTTTTGCCACAAAACGGTAGTTATAATTTTAATGAAATGGACAGAATTAAATGGCTTTACTCAATTTGCTGATAGAAGCATTTTTATAAATTATTTGCTTAAACATGTCTAGCTGAAAAAATGTGGAGTAGAAAACTGCAGTAGTATTAAAGAGCTTTATTGACTTTAGCAGATGTTCTGCTTTCATGATTAATGTACAATTAGTTTTTTCTGTGACCTTGCTTAGGTTTTTTCCCCTATATTGAATATTATTCCAAATGAATTTAGGGATTAAAATCTTGAAGATAAAACATTTTTTGCATAGATCTCCAGGGCTAAAACTGCAACTCTCTTGTTCTGTTTGGAATACAGTCTCTTACGTAATCAAACCCCCTGGATAAACTTGGCTATTATAGCTACTGAATTTGAAGTTGTGCTCATGCATCGCAGTGCAGGCTCTTGGTGGTGGTGACTGGATACATCTGGACAGATGTGTTCGCTCTGTGTGGCCACCCTCATTATAAAACATGCTTTAAATACAGAAATGAGGGAGTTCACATAGTAATACGAGACAGCAGGACTCAGTACAGCAAAACAAGTTTTAGTTCTGATGTAATACAGAGGTGGCAAAATCTGAGAGGTTTGCTTATGTTGTTTTCCCTCTAATTGACTTACCTCTTCTTCCTCTACTTCCTTTGCTCTGGGCACCGAGAAAAAACTTAGGTTGTTAAACACAAATGCTATTTTTATCAGTCATGTTTGTGTTCCTGTGAGAACATAAAGCGATTAATGCTTTTTTTTAAACGGAGAAAAGAACAGGACCAAACCAAAACCTTTATTTTAAATAGGTCTTTCATTTACATTTTTAACAGTTTTATCTGCTGTACCAAAAGCAGATAAATAGCAAATACCAAAAGTGTTTAGATCAGCTTTGAGCTCTCATTACAGTGCATATTCTATTACCCCTTTTCTCTAGAAAGAAGAACAGTACTTCTGTTCCTGGAAGTACTTCTAAGCCATAAACATTATCTGGAGGTAGAGAGGCAACAGCAGATTATCGATTTGGGTAGTGTAAGCTTCCAAAAGAGAAACTAAACTCACAGACGCCAGAATCCAGGCATAGCCAGAGTTCAGATTCACGCTGCTGTCAAAGATCAGAATAAGAGCCACAGCTATGATCTGAGCAAAAATAGCTGTCATTGTCCCTTCAAAGGTCTTCTTTGTTCCTGGCCATTTGATTTCCCCCATTGTACTGCCAAAAACGGAGGCAATAGTGTCTCCTACCCCTACTGCCAGTACCCCAGAGTAGGGGACCAGTGCTCCTGCCCCAGACAAGGTACCCTTAGGAGCGCAAGATCTGGGGAACAACCATACTGGGAGAGACATGCCAAGGAGGAGATAAATATGAGTCAAAATTAAAGGTCCGCTATCTCTTTCATCCAAGAAGAGAGACAGCAGATGCCTAAGGGTTTGGCCAAATGGTTTGATCCTGAAGTACCGAATATACTCTAAGAAGATAAACACTGCCAGACACAGTACTGCAGCAACGTAGAGAAGCTGGTGGTCATAGATCAGTCCAGGAACATAAGTAGCTACAACAATGAAATGGAAATATTTCCTGGTTATAGTTGAGGCCTGGTGTTTTTTAGATTCAGATGATCTCTTAGCATTCTGGTAGAAAACTACGCCACATGCTGAAGCAGCCAAAAAACTCCAATATACAAGAAGGTAGACTCTTGTCTGTGTCTGAAACAGAAACTGGAGTAGCCAGAACAAAGGGTTCCTCTGGATCAGTCGGTACAGCCAGGGCATGATGACCCCTAAGCCTAGCACTGCTGTCATCATGTGGAAAAACATGGAGGAGATCCACGTACCCGAATCCATGAAAATGAAGAGCACAGTGAAAAACAGTCCAAGTAGAACAACTCCAACAACTGCTACCAGAAGGAAAAAGTCTATGGGATCACCTCTGCCCTCGATTACATTCAGTGAGCGTTTAATGAGCTGATTGAGAACAAAACTTATACCTCCAAGAACCAGCAATGCTTCTCCAGGAGTAAAACATCGAGGCAGCAAGTACAGCAAGATCATACTGAGGTAGACAAAAATTAGCAGCACTTCTAGTACCTCTATCACTTCTGAAACAGTCAAAGAGTGCTTCATGGTATAGATAATTATACTGCCAGCAACCCCAGTAAGTATGCAAGTGTTGGTTGGCACAGGTTTTGTGATGCCAACCGCTATTACAGACAGAAAAAGAGCAACCAGCATGCCAGTGGAAGCTACAACTATGCCAAAACGTTCAAAGTACACAATGCCAGCAGACTTGCACCTCTCCTTCATCGCTATCCCCAACAAGGGGATGACCATGCTAGCTGGCAGCAGGCCACTGTTAGCTGCTGTACGGAACTGGAATACAGCCCCACCCAGCTGGAGCAGACGGTCCCATTTGAATTGGACATAGAAAGCCTGGATGGCGAGAGCGACAGCGCACCAGGAATACCGGTCCCACACCACTGCGTGCACAAAGAGAACGATGATGAACACGATCAGGGATTCCACCAGCACCGGCTTGTTTAACATGATTCCAGTCACACGTGGCTCAAGCTTTCAAAATCTTTCTCGTGAGTACTGATGTGCTCAACAGTTGTCCGTTAGGAAGAATTCCCTTTCATGCTACTGCAATTCCTATTAAAAAAAAAAAAGGCAAACAATTAAAGCAACTACTAGAAAAGCTAAAGCTTCTGCACAGCTGTTTTGTTCTTAAGCTCAATTTAAACTGATAGGTATGTGCCAATTGTTAATGTCAACACGTTGGTGAATAAAAAAATAAAACCAATGAGGTAATGGATCAGCCACAGCTGTTATTCCCCTCTGAGAATCAGAGAAGTCACCCTGCAGTGACAGAAACGAACCACTGAATACTGGGGTATTCACATACAGTTTTAGTATTTCTGTTCCATTGTCTTTGAATTGAAATATGAAGCAAACAAGCCATAAATATTCCCAGAAGGCTTCATTGTGATGCTGTGAATTTGAAATATAGTTAATTTAAACGTTTAAAGGTAATTTTAGAACCTAATTTTGGATGCAGTTTTCACTGTAGTTTTACAGAATGTTCCTCCTCTTATTAAATATTTCTTCTACCACTGCTGTGTGAACCCCCTATGTACCTCTCTCCCCTTCTGTTACTGGTGTTATGCCTGAATACTTCCACTATCGCAGCAGGTCTTTTATAATGCTACACAATATTTGCAATAGAAGTAGGAAAGAAAACGTCACAATCGTTAACAAAAATTGTCAAATGGCATACTTCATCTAATTTTGATCTATTACTAGAACTCTCAATTAATTATTTTCCTAAAATCCTTGAAGAGTAAGTAAACCTTGCAAGACGTTCTTGATGATGATCTAAAGCTGTCACTGTTTTCTACATCCGCTCACTTCCTTGTCTTACCAAAACCTGCCGCATTTACAGCACTTCACCTTCTCTGAATCAAGGCTCACAGGCAATGACAGCTGCATTGCAAACTAAACTTTCCTTTAAACCTTTGGACTATAAGATAAATAGTTGAGATAATCAGCAATGCACATAATGACTCTATTAGGTTAAATCGTATCTTCTTCTAAGTATTGTGAGCATTCACAATGTTGAGAAATTCTCACCAACTTTTATTGCTTTCTGGCAACCTTTATTTCTCCTTATCCGTAACTTGATATTATGTCTTAGCCATACATAAGCCAATGCAATTATACTGGCATCTCTTCTGGGTTCTTTGAAGGTATCAGTCTCTAAACTTCTGTTGGCAACAGAATGGCTGATCCAGTTGTATGTATCCCTGCTGGATAAGATATCTCCAGCTATAACTTTGGATTGCTTCATCCTTTCTGGCCCGCCTTTAAGCTGATTAGTAGTAAACTCCTATTAAATTCTGCTCCCCCAGTCTCGTTACTAGTATCTACATTAGCTCCCTCATGGAAGGCTAGAAGTTTATTTAAAGTCCTGATGTGGCTTTTCATCCAGTGTTGAATAGCTTCACCAGATTATAAAGCTGACAGAGATCTCAGTAGTAATATTACTGGGTAACTATTAAAGTTTGTACTGCCAAACTCCCTTACACTGTGGGTCTGGAATTTAGCTATTTAGGCCTTTGTACTGAATATTAAAAGATTACTTTTTGTCATCCTTATTCACGTGGCTGGAAATACTTGATTGATGAACAACTTCATTGCATTTACTGTAATCATTTTGCCATCACAATTAATTTTTAAACAGAACAGGAAAATTAATCATACAGTCAACAAAACAGAATTAGCATGGCCAATAGGATATGACCAATAATGGTTTTGGGGTCCCATTCCTTGTTTCTGAGCACAGGGGAGAGTGAAGCTTAAGGCTTATTTGAGAAGAGGCAGGGTAAATACCACATGCTAGCCAAAGATTGAAAAAGGATCTCCCACTCAGTCTGGCAACTTCAAGGCTGCAAACCAGCTCTTGCATCAATAATGACACATGACAGCTTCTCCCAGCAGGCAGCCTGCCAGCTGGGCTATAAGACAAGGAAGAATTTCACTATATGAAATACAGCTCTGCTACTCTAATGCAGCAACTTTGAAAGCCGCTGACCTGTGAATTTGCAACACGGTGTATTTCACTGCTGAATTACTTCATTTTCTTATGCCTCCTGCAATTCCGCCCCCCGCCCCCCGCTTCTTTCCGGTAACGTGAAGCGCTTCAGCACTCCGGCGCTCTCACACACCGAATGGGACCCATCGCCCGTTTTCTGCCCGTTTCGTGATCTGCATCCCGGCTGCTCTGGGTGGGGAAGCTTCCCACCGACGTGCTCCCAAACGCCCGTCAGCCCTCGCC